GCACATATATGTTGCGAGTACATATTCATAGTAAAGATTTAAAATACAAGACATTATTTTCTTAAGTATTATGCATATAATAATTTAAAATTTGTTTAAAAAAACATTAGGATAATTTATATATTTTATTCTCAGGTTGCTCAAATTCAAGCGAATATAGAATGTTTGAAAGATTATCTTTCACGATCCTTAATGGCTACTTGCGAAGCTTGGGAGACAATACTCTTGGAAATGGATGAAAAACTCGCACGATATGCAGAAGCAAATCCACCTGGTAGTATGTCTGCAGACTTTTTAGAACTATTAATGATCGGAATACCTACGAAAAATTTAGAAACTTTTCTACTTAGAGATCTCACAGAGAAAGGATTAAAAAAATTCGGACATAGTATTGAAATGTGTTACAGTAATATACAAGTATGTTGAGAAATATTACTTTTTATAGTTTAATGTGTATATCATACAAGTTTAGAATGTAGATTATTTTCAGAAACTAGTCTCGAAAAATTTGACTAGTGTTGGTATGGCCTTGGTTTATCAATTAGCTGAATTGAGAGGTATGGTGAGAGTAGGTGACACATATGAAGCGTTAGGACTACGTGATGAAACACTTATAACTAATGCCATTAATGAATCTGAAGCTTTCTTGGCAAAATCATATGAAATCGAACAAGTTATAGATCAGAGTATGCGCAATTATAAAGCATTTTTCCGGTAAAAAATTGATTAATTAATTTATTTATATTTAATAATTTATTTTTAATTTATTGTTATATTTATAGATGGTTGTACGTAGCCATTCTTCAACTAACGGATGAAAGAGCACCATCGGAAGTAAGTCGTGTAAGCCAGCAGGAATTAACATTTATAGCAGAATTTCTGAGTGACTTTGATAAGCCAAAAACAAATGGTAGAGTAAATTTAGAAAAATTGGGTCAATATTTGCGTCATGAAAATTTGCAGACTCCCCTGACTTCGGAAGGAAGCGAATGGGCTACTATGCTCGATGCAAACGATTGCTTGCGCAATTACGCACATATAGTAAAGCAAAATTTTAATTTATCTTTACTACAGTCTCATGTAAAATTAGTTGCCACTGTAGAAAATGTTTTTACTGAAGCCTATCAGAGCTTAGTTGATCACTTTGTGATGATCTCTATCTCTTTGCCATCATTTACATCTCTCATGTCTTCACAAACTGTCACAAGCGATGGAAATTTCTTGTTAGCTATGAGCGAGATTGACAGCAAATTGTTAAGACTTTTTAATATAAAATATTTGTCTATAGACCCTATCTCTCTTACTTCAAAGATGATCACGTTAGATGTGAGTCAGAAGCAAGGTTAGTAGCTTAATTGTATTACATACAATTATAATATAATTAATTTGTTTCTCCATTACGTTATAAGAATAATTAACTTTTTTGCGTATCTAGGAGAATGTTCAAAAGAAAACATTGATACTGTGATAGTAGATCTGCAATTTTACTCACAAGATTATCTGAGTTTGCTTATATTGAATAAACAAACTCATGCATCATTTCTTATACAAATGCCATTACATAGTATGCTTGAATATCAAGATAATGATGCAATAATATCAATAACTGACATCATCGGTGCAACGTGGCCGAAACCATTTCAAGGAATATCTGCGAGACGACTAGCAGTCAGTGGTTCTCGGAAAGTAGCTGCTATTTTGAATGAAAATAATAGAAAAATTCGTTTACTCGAAACTGAAGCGGAACCTGAAGATGAGGAAGATGAAGAAGAGGAGGAAGGACGTTTTGTGGAAGGTATGATGGATACTACACCTAGTGCATATTTTCCTGCAGAAACAAAAACTGACGTACAAGAGTTCTACAAGGAAGAAAACTGAAGTAAAATATATTTAAGGTATGAATAACTTATATATGCCAAATGATTGATTGTAAATAATAACATTTCGTATAATTGATAATTTTGATTTATTTCTCAAAATCGATTTTAAACTTATTTATTTTAAATAACTATTTTGAATAAATTACAAGGTATATATTTCTAAAATACATGTATTGCAAAATATACACTTAAGAATAAAACACTAAAATAATGTAATTTCATAGTATATACACAACACGATTAAAACTTATGGCATTGCTTGTTCTTTCTGCATTTGTTTAAATACTTTGGGAAAATCAATGTCAAGAACAGCGTTATCTATTCCAACGTTCTCGACACGTGATGAAACACCAGGTGCATTATCTGACGTATAGCGTGCTGGAGAATTTTCTCTCGACTCCTCGAGATCTGTGAAAATGATTATATATAAAAGATAATCATATTTTCAGTATAAAAGTGCATTTTCTTTCTGTTCATTATAATTTTTATAAAAAATTACCAAAGAATCTTTGATTTCTTTTTTTCTTAACAGTAATAATTAGAAGAAGGACAGCTACAGCAACCACTAATACCATAACAGCAGTCATTCCCCGTAACAGATTTGTCTATTCAAATATATATTTTAATAAAATGCAGGCTTGTGATTATTCTTATGTATATGTACATATATGTGTATGTGTGTATATATAAAATGTATATTAAAATACCTCAAAATCATTTTCCCAAAGTTGCTCCCAATCGTTTGTAACTATTAATTCAATAGAATGAATTTTTAATTGAGAATCGTCGAATAGACCTTTTGAAAAACATTTATAAAATCCAGATTCTGCTGTTGATACACCCTAATTATAATTTTTGATAATACATCTTATTAAATATTGACTTATTTAAAAGAGAAAAATTTTAAGAATATATGATACATTTTGAAAACATACTCTAATTTGAAGCATGCCAGTCAGTACTTCATAATTATATTTCTTTTCATTTAAAGGATTTCCTGGACCAATAACATTGTTAGTTCCAAATTGCCAGAACATGAAACGATGATGTTCATCAATACTTAAGCATGGGAGTTCAGCTAAGTGTCCAGCTAGCACTTCTTTCACTGTTACTATATCATTTGCAGTTTCGGATTTTTGTAATATAAATGCTAAATAAAAAAGTATAAAAAGCCACATTGTCACCTAAAAATCAATATCAAATATACTTATATAGATTATTTCATAGTTAGAGAGAAAGAGAGAAAAACAATTTTTTCTTATATATAAAATTGTATATATATGTGTAAGAAAGTAAAAATATATTCAAGAAAATGTAAAAGTTGTATAGAAATATGTTTAATTACTATATTCTGCCACAATCAATATTAGCAAACTGTTAGATATTACTAGTCTGTCTTCTTTCATGATTACATTCTAATTATACTTATCACCTTTTTTTCACAATTACTGCAAAACCTGTTTGTTGTTCACAGATAGTTGTCACAATAATTATACAGGATAAGACTTTTCTAAGTGAATGTTGTGTAATCATAAAAACAATTCTCTCTTCCTCTCTCTCTTGCAAATAGTTATTAATTTGCTTTTATTTTTTCTGTGCAATTAAATTCAGCAACAATAGCATTTATATAAATTATTAATTAGAAATTAGAAACACTTTCATTTACTGATGAGAAGATCGCTACAAGCACTGTCATGGAGTTACTTATTTTTAACTCTGTCCTATTCGGCCTTGTGCAATACTAAGTATTTATAGTAGACTAGATCTATACTTTAGAATTGCTGTATGTTCTCAAATCCTATGCTATAAATCAATTTAATCTTACCAAAGAAAACTTTGCCTTATGTTTGAATAAAAATGAATTAATGAATAAAACAGATAAACAGATATAAAAAATATTTCTATATTTTATATATTTAAATTAATGCATACAAAACAAACATATTTTACTATTCAATACAATAATGTTGGAATATAAATTGAATAATTTATAAAAATATTTATTAAATAATTGATTATGTACAGCAAGTAACAAAATAATTTTTTATTAATATAATATATACACACTCTTAAATAACTTTAAATAAATAAGTTCATCCATTATCAATACGTAGTTTGTAACATTAATTGATAAATAACATCTATGGCTAATATTGGCAAAAGCAGCCAGAATGGTGCTAATACTGCTTTCGCTGGTAGAGACCAGTGAGGGGCCTCTAATTTCAGACAAATCAAAATCTGTGCACACAATTTCAAGATCACAGCTATCATGTATCGTGTCTGAAACAATTTTATTATACTGTAAAATTAAAATTTGATTTTACTTAATTAACTGAAGATTTTTTGTTAGAAATATTTCTTAATTATATTACGTTTCTTTTCTTACATAAAATATTTTATAAAATAAATAAAAAAATCAAATGGAATAAAATATTTTCAATCGCAAGAGGATAAAAGAAAATTTTATTTTATTTTGTTTTATCAAATTATAAAACACTTACTTCTCGCTTCAAACTAAAGTTACGTACATTCTTGCAGTACGAAATCATATTGAATACAATATAAATAAGGAGAATATTGTCGTAAAGCCACATTGGAATGAAAATTATGAACCAATTCCATTGTATTCTCTGATCAAGCCTCAAGACAAGTAAGATCAAGAATATGAGCAAATTGAACCAAGTGAACAAAGCGCGATGCAAAACCGCCATGAATTATTTAAATTAATTATATACACAATTTCTCATAAAGCACATTTGTATTGATAACTTTTGATAATTCTAACCTTTAGCGACAAATACTCTATAGCCGCTACATTCTACAGGTATCCTGCTTTATCGACGAGGTATTATCGACAGACGAAGTACCATCACTTGTTATATTTTAGATTACGTTCCAAAACTTCCTCTGAGGAAAATTTTACTCGTAATATATAATACATATAACGTATACTATAGCACATAGAGTAAAATCTTCGGAGAGGAAATTTTGGGGCTACTACGTAGCCCTAAAAAATGACATGATATAAAGCTAGTCAATAGTCACACACACTTTCCGTAACAGTAATCTCGGATCTACAATAGATTTTTAAGCCTTAAGCCATAAGGAATGGACGAATCACAATAAATTATCCTCTTCGACTGTTGATCAATTTCTTACGGCTTAAGGCTTAAAATACCTATTGTAGATCCGGACTAAGGGACTTCGCACAATAAAAGGAACAGGGAACAGAGAATAAGGGCTCTATTTTTGAAAAGAAACGTATACAAAAGTCTAAGAAAATGCTGCAGTATACGTTACAAGAATAGGGTCCCAGAAAATAAGAATTTTAACCTATCAAAAACTGTGTATTCCAAAATATATGATTTCTGATAGGTTGAAATTCTTGTTCTCTGTTCTCTGTTCCCTGTTCCTTTTATTGTGCAGAGTCCCTAACAGTAAGGTTTTCGATCAATCGCGTTGCTCGACGGTTACGGTTAGGGTATATTCACACAAACTTGCATAGCCGCATAAAAGTATGCATAAACAAAATTATCCAATCGCATTTATATCTATTGTCACGTTCGCAGTATTTTTAAAACTTGTCCAAATCACCCTTGGACAGACCACATTTTATAGATTATAGATTATAGATTAGCGCGGTACACGAAATCGCCAGGACCATATCTGACGCCTCCCCACTACGCGCCCTAACAGGGCAACGATGGAAGGGGATCCCTCTCTCTTCTCTTCAAAAAGACGCCTTTGGGGCATGAGAAACAGAAGAACAGTTAGTAACAGAAAAACAGTCAGTAAGTAGCATCTTAGCGTCTGGATCGAGTGCCCTCGAGCGGAAATTTTCTAAGTCTTCTTCCGTCGGCGAATCATTGTCCCAGTTTTGCGCGCCGCATATAAACATAATCGTTTCAATTTCTTTTAAACTAAATCAAATTCAAATTCTAAATCTAAGTAATTCTAAATTTAAGTAATCTAAGTGATTTTGTGAATTAAAATTAATAAACACCTTAGCTGAATCTGAGTAAACTTTCTAAACAAATCCTTTCTTAACTACCTTACCATATTTAATTCATACCAGTGACAACCTAATTAGCGAACTTAGACTATTATGCACATGAGAGCTACGAATCGATGAGGACGAACCCGACGCCAAGTCCAGGACAGTGGGAAGTCTGAAGGCCACGCACCGACTAACCGCGTGCCACAATCACTGACGGAGATCTCATCGTAAAGATAGAATATTTTTACTTCATCACATTTCGGTCACCGCGGACTGTGAATCCTGTTTGCATGTAGTATGTGTCCGGTGCATCCGCGTTCGCGCCCGCCTACCGGCACCCATCCGTTGGAAACCAACCCTTACACCACATGGACACGTAGCGCATGTTGCGTTCTTCATTATTCTTTCGTTGAGTAGAAAATGGCGAGACTAAATGTCCAGAGTGCTACACCTCTTTATCTGTCGATGAAAAGGAGAATTATCTAGGGATATTGCGACATTACATCCATTTAGAGTTTTCAGAACGATTCGAGATCTGCAACGAGTGTTCCGTGTCGCTGGCCACAGTATGTAACTTCACTGCCGTGATTGCCCTGAAATTTTGGAGGAGTTTCTCGGTTACCTAGACAGGATGGGGGATACACTTTGGACCTCCACGGAATCGACTATCGCTGTGTCGAGCGCGTAAATCTAGCTGAAAATTTAAACTTTTAAATTGGACAAATTTTAATTCCGCGCTCTCGTCGATGCGACATTGTACGCCTTGCACCCACCGATAATCCCAGGTCTGTTCGGATCCTGGCCACCCGCCGATCAAACCCTGGGATATAACACTATATAAATACACATAAAATGGATAATTTTCTTTATGCATACGTTTATGCAGCTATGTAAGTTTGTGTGGATATTCCCTTACGGACGACCGAATCGAGCAATGCGATTGGTCAAAAACCTGCGTTACATTTACGGTTACTGTTACGAATAGTGTGTGTGACTAGCTTAAATTAATGGAATTCTGTTGGAATTTGTTGATAACACACATTCCTTGGAAATTTCTCTTTATATTAGTTCTAAAAGATTCTCGATGGGTTTGACTAAATGATATACATATATGTGAGAGATAGTGTTTTCTGCAGTGGTATATTTAAAACGGCATATTTAAAAAATTTGTAAAAATTAATATTTTTTATTAAAAAAAATAACAAGACAAAACAATCAAAACAAACTGTACTTCACTTCATTGCGACAAACGCCGCGTCCATGTGGCAAACAGCATCAGAATCAAAAGCCCTTAGAATCTATAGTTTTCTGAAGTGCCGTGCTGCCGCGCGCGGCATTTGCCGTGTCCATCAGTAGGCATCTTTAAAGTCCTTATTAGATGTAGATACGCTTCTTCTCAAATTGAAACGGATGCTCAAGGATTCTTTCTTTTATCTTATTAATTCACTCAGTGTGACTATTAATTTTTTTATCTAGTTTGCATTATTCACTCCGGCTTAGCAGCAAGCCATCATAAATATTGCAATTGAGATTGCGTTCTGTTATTTATTATGAGAAAATTAAAAATTTACATTACAAATACTTCACAAAACTCTAAAAATTTAAATTAGAGAAAAGTTTGGTTTGGTGATTAAAAACAGAATCCCCTACATTAACTTAACCTCGAGGAATATTTCTGAATCTCTCTGAATAAACGCTACCAATCTCTCTAAATAACGCTGTCGCGCTATTATTAGCTCCACGAATAGCGTTGGTAGCGTTTGTGTCCATAACGCAAATAATGTCTCCTCGAACGCACCACAGTGTAACACTGTATCCATGGACGTATGAATATCTGGACGGAGCGTAAAGCCAGCTGGGCGAGGGGATTAAGATCTACGCGGGGGGAGGGGGATTGGCCATATCTTGTCTGGCGACATTTTAGCGCTTTATTTGAAAATCGATATATATATTATAATATTATTTGTATTTCCAGCGCATAAAAATAGGATTTTGTGTGAGGCAAAGTTAATTCAACATGTGCAATTAAAAATAATTTTCTGTTTATATTAAAAGAAGTAATAAATAAATATATATATATATATATATATGTACGAGATGTGATCAAAAAGTAAGGTGACTTTTCATTTTTATAAAAAAATATTCATTTATTCATCCAAAATTATATTATCCCCTTCAAAATAATCCCCCTCTGATACAATGCACTTGTGCCAGCGCTTTTTTCAGTCGTCAAAACACTTCTGAAATGCACTTTTGGGTATTGCCTTGAGCTCCTCCAGCGATGCAGCCTTAATCTCCTCAATCGTCGCAAATCTTCGTCCTTTCATGGGCCTTTTCAATTTTGGGAAGAGGAAAAAATCGCAGGGGGCCAAGTCTGATGAATACGGTGGCTGAGGCATGATAATAGTATTGTTTTTGGCCAAAAAACTAGTAACGACGTTTTGGAACGCAGTTTTGGAACGAATTTCGCTGACACACGTGTCATACCCAAAACATCCGTTAAAATTGATTGGCATGAGCCAAACGATATGTTAAGATCATCAGCTATTTCTCTAATCGTGATTCGACGATTTTTCAAC